TCTTTTCTTAAACTTTTACAATAATGGTCTTATGCAATATTTGAGCTTTTGTGACTGACTAATTTCAGTCAGCATAATGTTCTCAAGGTTCATCCATGTTATGTGGTGGCTTACAGCTTCCTTGTTATTCTTCAAGGTAGTATAATATTCCATTGTGTGTATGTAACAGTGTTTATTTATCCATTCTTCCATTGATGAGCACTTAGGCTGTCTCCATCTTTTTGCTATTGTAAATAGTGCTACTATGAACATTGCTGTGCATGTATCTACTTGTGTTACGACTCACATTTCTTGTGGATATACATCAAGTAGAGGAATTGCTGGATCATAAGGTATTTCTATTTCCAACCTTCTGAGGATACACCATACTGTGTTCCAGAATGGTTGGCCCATTTTGCAATCCCACCAGCAATGTAGGAGGGTCCCAGTCTCTCCACATCCTCACCAGCATTTATTGTCCTCTGCATTTTTTGAACTTCGCTGTTATTGTTGGTGTGAGATGATATCTTGTTGTTTTGATTTGCATTTATCTAATGGCTAATCATTGCGCACATTTCTTCATGTGTTTGTTAGTTGCCCAAATGTCTTCCTTGGTGAAGTGTCTGTTCATTTTCTGTGTCCATTTTTAAATTGGGTTATTTGTCTTTTTTCTTTTAGAGGTGTTATAGTTTCCTTTAGATTTTATAGAAATGAGTCCCTTGTCTGATATGTTAATGCAAAAGATTTTTCCTATTCTGTGGGCTCCTGTTTTACACTTCTGATGAAACCCTTTGAAGCACATAAGTTTCTAATTTTTCGAATGTCATAATCATCTATTTTGTCTTCTTTTGTTTGTGTAATTTTCACAATGTTTGCCAGTCTGCATGTGCCCTGGATTAGAGCCCTTAAATTTGTCCCTATTTTGTCATTGATGACCTTCATAATTCTGGGATTCATATTTAGGTCTTTAAGCCATGCTGAGTTTGGTTTTGTATATGGCATGAGATAAAGGTCTTCTTTCAGTCTTTTGCATACTGAGTTCCAGTTCTGCCAGCACCATCTGTTGAAGAGACTATCTCCTCCCCATGCAATATTATGCTACCTTGAAGAATAACAAGGAAGCTGCAAGCCACCGCATAACATGGATGAATCTTGAGGACATTATGTTGAGTGAAATTAGTCACAAAAGGAGAAATACTGCATAGGACCACTACTGTAAAAAACAAAGAAAAAGAACCCATATTAAAGGGGAGGGGGTTCTTTGCTGGTTACCAAGATTTGGGAAGATAGGGGGGAGGGGAAGGTGGGGCACAGGGTAGGGAATAGATACAGGATAGTTTGGGTGCTAGGGAGG